AATTTGGGAGTTTTGAATAAGACATTTAAAGTTAAAAATTAGAAAAAAAAATTGGTCCCTCCTGCAGACGATAGGCATTGACTAAAACAAAATTAAAAATGCATTGTTCCAAATTCACCAAACTGAAAAGGTTTAAAGGAAACCCGAGCAATTAAAATTCCAAATGATTTGGGGGGGAGGTAAATTTGTAGCATTTACTTACACTTCTGATATGATGAAAGCTTAACGCGGGGCTAAGGCTTTGGGAACACTGGGTCAGAAGGCGGTTTCTCATCTTTCATCCCGAAGTTATGTTGCAGGCTATGTCTGCAGCTTGGGTTGCTGTGAGTTGCTTATCAGTGACCCGTCAGGACTTTGAACTTTAAAATTCTATACTTACCACTAAAACCTCATGCCTATTTGGACTTTTTGCTTCTCTGGCGTTTTTTGGTTTTGTTTTTATAAATTTTGGCTTGTTTTACAACTTCTTATGAGAACTCTGAGTGCTAGGCAAGTCTAGACCCATAGTGGGGCAAAGGACCTCTTGAGTTTGTTTCTTTACCTTAGCTTTAAAAAAATACAAAAATACAATGAACCTCTATTGCCCAGCTGCAATCTCTAGGACCACTTTTCCTTTTTTTTTGTTTTTTGCTAAAGTGTACAAAGCTGATCCTAAATATGAGATAAGTGAAGTTTTGTTGAGTTTAAAAAGACAGCTCCAACCAGGGAAATAGAATCAAATAACAGGATAATTGGCAGAGAGAGAGAGAGAGAGACGAAGAGCAAGGGATGGAGAGAGGAAGAGAGAACGGACGGAAATAGAGGAACATGTAGAATGAGATCACTATATTTATCCCTGTGTTCCTCTCCTGCCCCATTTCCAGTTTTCTCTACTTGTCACCTACTTTCTTCTTGGCTTTGAAACATCAACAGCCTGGGTGAGCCGAGGCATTTCTAAGCAGAGGGTTTGCTATCGGCGTAAAGCCAAAGGGAGTCCACGGCCGCTCCCACCTCCTCGGCCTCCCTCCTGCCTGTCTCTCCTGCGAGTTTGCAGTCCCACTGCCCATCCTTTAAGGGACCTGGTGGCTACCTTCTCCTTTTCTTGTACCGAAGGAACTTGAACCTCAATCCTGGAACACAGCCTTTTTTCCTTTCCTAGCAAGGCTTGGGAAGTCGGCAGGGAAGGGAAGGGCTAGAGAGGAAGGGTCTGTTACTCCTTAAGGACTCCTCACCCTGAAACGGCATCCTGCAAACTCTCCTTCTAGAAATGTCTAGAATTCTGTGATAAAACCAGGCTTTCCGCAAACAAAGAGCCTCAAATTAGTCTGGAGCATAATGTTTATAATAAATATTAGCCTGTTAGAAACTCTGAGATGATTTACAATCATAATAACACTATTTAACTTTGCCTTACTCAGTTTAATAGTGGAACTTTTTTTTAGACTACCTATTAATATCTCATGGGATGCCAGTATTTTATAAAATGCAGTTTAGAGCCAGTTATTCCTTCTAATCTGAAATCACAGCGTGGGATAAATCGCTTCTCCTCGCTTGTTGAGAGAGAGCCCGTTCCTTTTGGAGGGCCAGGGGTGACTGGATTACAACATCAGAAGTCACTAGACTACTCATTTCATTCAGCTGCCCGGTTTTTATATGCACGTGTGTGTGTGTGTGTGTGTGTGTGTGTGTGTGTGTGCGCACGCGCGTGCGTGCATGCAATTCTTAACAATTTAAGATTAGACTCCAATGTTTTTACCCAATCCTCTCCTTCCTTTGAGCCACTGCTTTAGTTCAGGTCTCAGTGTTTCTTGCGTGTAAGATTCCGAATACCCCAGCATCCTCCACACTTTTCTCTGTCCTTTCTCTCATCCATCATGTACTCTCCCTGCAGAATTATCTTTCCAAACTATAAACCCCGTTTATCTTCCTGCGTTAAAGCTTTCAAGGACTCCCCTGTGCCTCTGAAGATAAAATCTAAACTGGTTTCTGATTTTGCCTTTGTGTTTTTCTGCCTGGCTCCATCTCGCTCTCATTCTTAATCTGCACTTAGGTTCCGGTAGTTCCCTTGCTGCATCCTACTAGGTCTGCGCCTTTGCACGTGCTGTTCCTCCTCCCTGGAGTGCCCTTCTCGCAAGTGCATCTGCAAAATTCCGATTGCTCCATCACGATTGGCTCAAATGCTACCTCTTTCTGGGAGCCTTCCTCTTCTTTGCTTTCACAACTTGGTTTTCTTGCCTCTTAATCCAGCACTTCTTGCATAGCTGGTGTTACTCATGTAGGTAAATGTCAGGAACGCATTCAAGCAATAGAGTCCTGACTACAAACAGTGGCTTAAACTAGTGCAGGTGATTTTTCTCATAGTAAAATATGCAAAAGCAGGCAATTCATAGCTGGGAAATGCATGCAACAATGCCGTCAGAAACACAGGGACTTTCTGTATGACTCCACCATCCATAGCGTCTGGCTTGCTCCCTCCTCATCGCAAGATGTCTACTGCGTCATGTCTGCATTTCAGACAGGAAGCAAGGAAGTTCTGTCTGTATCTGTCCCTCTTTTCATGTAACAGCAAAAGCTTTTCCAGAACACCCTTCAACAGTCTTTTGTTTGTATTTCATTGACCTGAAGTATATTGTATAACCATTTCTAGCCAGAAGGGAGGGTAGGTGAACAAGCATTTAGCTCCCCAACCCACAGTGTCAGCTGCAGACAGTGCCCTTATTAGACTAAGAACCATCTATCTCCCGGAAGACAGTAATATTCTGTTAATTTTTATCCTGAATCCCTTGGGCCCTTGGAAGACACTTGTTTGAAATCTCACAAGTGTTTGAACACATGCACTCAACATGCTAAGGATTAAGGAAAAACACTTACGAGTTGTCTTTTGTTTGTTTGTTTGTTTAATCAGAGAAGGTTGTTTGCCACCCAGCAGTCTAATACAATGCACAGGTAATTAGGTTAATTTATTTACTTATTTTTTAAGTGGAGGGACTAGGGATTGAACCTATGACCTTGTGCATGCTAGGCAGGCACTCTACCACTGAGCTATACCTCCCCCCTCCATGCACAGGTATACAGACGCAAGGAGGCAAGTGTGTGCTACAAGGAAGAGTACAAGTAGCAGTCAGGGGCCCTCTCTGCCCTTCTCTGTAGGTTACTGTGACCTGCTACTGGGAGGGAGAGGAGGGCAGGTTATAAGACAAAGCCCACAGTGCTTTGGGGTGTCCAGTGAGGGTTAGAAGCATGGAGGAGAAAGGAGAAGAGGAAATTCAGAGGCGGAGAGCAAGCCTAGGAACCGGCATCACCCGCTAATGTTTAACTTCTTGAGAGAAATTTTTTTTTTGATGGTGGGAACATTCCTGTTTTCTGAACCATAGGAAGTGTCTTCCTCCACATTTCAGTTCCCTTTAGTTACCCAAACTCTTCAGTTAAAATGAACCTTTTGAATACAGCCCTGCAAGGCAGCGTTGTGGGGGCCTCTGGGGTAAGTCTCTAAGGGGAGGCTGGGGTTTCCTACCTCACCCTCCAGGAGGCCTCATGGTAGTAACAACACTGCACGGATGTGGATAATCCTGAACTTGCTAGGGCTGGACCAACAGTGAAGAGAGTGATGGTCAGCAGCTGTGCAGACAGAAGCAGGATGGGGTACCGTGCCAAGAGGATGACTTAGGACCAGACTTGGGACTTAGGGCAAACCCTATCCTCCCTAAATATACTGAAGAAGGGAGTCTCCAGAATGGGGAGCAGGGATGGGAAGAGGGATGCTAGAATCTAGCTCTGCTCTTGTTAACTGTGACCATCAGTAAGTTATCACAGGACCTGTGTCACAGGATTACTGTGAGGATTAGATGAGAAAATGCATGGGAAACACTTAGAATATATTTTGTGCTCAATAGTTATTGCTACCGACTTGGAAATAACTTAGTTCTACTTCTGTCCCTACCCTCATTGTAAATAAGGGGAAACTGAATGGAAAAGGTATAAAAGAAAAAGGTGTAAAATTACAGCAGCGTATCGCTGTAGTACTCTAGGATAGCTCCGTATTAGCCCTTATCATATTATTCAAAAATTATTTTTGTATCAGTTTCCACCACTAAGACTGGTATGTGGAGGCAGAGGACTGGCTAAGGCATCTGGTATACCCAACACACAGCACATAGAGTTGTTCAGCGAATGTTTGTGGATCTGAATAGCCCCACAGCTGACCACTTCACACCTGTACTCTTCACACTGCCTCTCTTACTAACATGACCTCTCCCCAACCTCTAACCTCCCTTCAGGCCATTTGGACTGTCCTGGGAGCCCTAGAGCTCGCGTTTTCATTAAACAAGGACTTCCAAGGGACAACCACCCTTTCCCTTCCTGTCCATTCTTGGGCAAGCCAGAAATTCTCAGTTCACAACAGGAAACCAATAGCTTTGTGCTATCAGAA